AGGAGAATGGTAGGAGCTGGAATTCCCCTAAATATTCCTACTTAAAAACAAAGCAAAATAAACACAAAGGCAAAACAATAAAAAATTAAAAAAAATAAAAGCAGCTGGGCAAGAGCTAAATAAAAAAGTAATTTCTGGAGGCTGTCTCTGGCTCAGTCTCCGAATTTGTAACCCATGGAATACAAGGAGGCTCCAAAAAGTTCATGGAAAATGGAATCAAAGGATGAGTTTGCTGGGCCAGCCCTGTGGTGTAGAGGTGAAGAGGAGTGGATCCCGCATGGCCAATCATGGTTTGAATCCAGCCCTGGGTGCTTGAAAAACACACTGGGTGTAGGTGTCCAAAGTCCCAGCAGGATGGAGAAATAGAGGTAAAGGGGTTTTGGTGCGGCCATACCCCTCTCTTCCTCTGTCTCTGGTGAGTGCATGTAGCCTCTGGCAGTTAAAGAGAAAGAAAAGTATGAGGTCCTCAGGTGGTGTAGAGGTTAAGGCACTGCATCCTATATGGCTGACTGCTGTTCGAGTCCTAGATCTGGTGGCTTGAACATACATGCTGGGAGTGTGTGTGTGTGTGTGTGTGTGTGTACGTACCAAAAATCCCAAGAGGTGAATGGAGGAGAAGGGATTGTGTGGCCATCCCCTCCTAGGGATTATTTCTCACTCTCCCTCTCTCTTTCTCTGGTGAGTGGGTATGCCCTCTAGCAAAACATTAAAAAAGAGTAACAAAACATTAAAAAAGAGAGAGAAAGAAAAACAGTACGAGCTTATTTTGATACAAAAAAATGTGAAATTGACACGTAGTTTTTTCATAAATTCACATTCCACGAACTTTTTGAAGACGCCTGCATGTGTGGAAGTATTTTAAAAAGTAAAGTACTGATTTCGGGCGGGGAGACAGGTGCTTTCGGTGAGCTGTGGTACGAGTCGTGGTGAGGTACGTGTGTTGCCCGGAGCGCAGGAGAAGGCCCGAGTGTGTGCCACAGCACAGGTCAGGGGAGCTTCCAAGAGAGAAGCCCTGTGTGTGCACGAGAGGAGAGAGCGAGGGAGGTGCCGTCCAAGGGCGTCTGGTCGTGCCTCAGTCCCCGTCCCCCAGGCCTGAAGCTTGCCAGCTTCTTGGGCACGGGTTAGCTGGGCTGGGGATCCAAACCGTAGTCTGCCACGCACTTGCTAGCACTGGGGTCTGGCCCAGGACCAACCGCCGCAGAGGCTGGGCAGCTTATTTTTTTTAAAGAATTATTTTATTCAACTTTATTCATTTTACTTTGACCATGTGTGAGAGAGAGAAAGTGAGACAGCAAGCCACCAGGTCCAGGACTTGAACCGTGGTCGGCTATGTGGGAGCCCAGTGTCCTTAACCATCACACCACCTTTCGGCCCCAAGAACAGCTATTTTCATGAACGCACAATAGGAAAGGAAAGGAAAGGAAAGCGCGGAAGAAGGGCAGGTTAGGTGGGGGGCGGGACATGCACAGGCGAGGTGCGAGTGGCAGGTATGAGCAGAGAACGACTCCAGGTTGGGGTTTTATAACCGAGCTCCTGTCTCGTGGCTGCCCGCGTTTCTGGAGACTCAGGGTCCCAGTTAATGGATGGGGAGGAGAGTGCTCACTGCCTAGGCCTCACCTCTCCTGGCCTCCTGCTGCCCTCAGGCATCTGGTGAACGCCGGAGTCCTCACTGTGCGCGATGCTGGGAGCTGGTGGCTAGCGGTGCCCGGAGCCGGGAGGTTTATCAAGTGCTTTGTGAAAGGTATCCTTGCCAAGCTCAAGCCCTGAGCCCCTTCAGAGCCCTCCACAGCCCTCTAACCCCATCTCCCTTCCCCCAGGGCGTCAGGCTGTCCTCGGCATGGTCCGGAAGGCCAAGTACCGGGAGCTGCTCCTGTCCGAGCTCTTGGGCCGGCGGGCGCCTGCTGCCGTGCGGCTGGGCCTCGCCTACCACGTGCACGACCTCATTGGGGCCCAGCTGGTAGACTGGTGAGTCTCGCCGGCCGGGGCAGATGGCAGGGAATGGCCCGAGGTCGGATCTCGTCCCTGCTCAGGCTTGCTTCACTTGTGAGGCCCAG